TCTAAATAATTTTAAAATAAAAATGTATGTATTAATACTATTTTACCTAATATTAATAGTACGTATAGCATATTTTATAATAAACAATAAACAATAAAATTATTAAATTTACATCAAGGTTGCCGTAGCTACAGATGATTACATAACTTGTTTGACATAAATAATCATTTCAATAGTTGTAATGAATTATATGATTCGTTAACACTATTTAAGTGATTAAACAAACTCTAATATAATTGAATATAATATGCGCTTAACATATAAATACTGAATATATCGCTCAGTAATTACCAAGCTTCAAATTAGGCACAAATTAACAACTATTAGATAAGTTTGTGAATGACAATTATTAGACTATGTTTAGAGTCTAGAACATACTAGCGCCAGGGTTTTTATCTAAATGACCATGATGCTAAAGAGGGTCTGCATACACGCCTTCTATATCCGAGTCCTCCAGATCCAAGTCCACAATCTCCACAAATTCATGATCCTGGGGGTCAACCGGGATAGTTATCCAACCCGTAGGCTCATCGTTATGGTTGCCCTCATCTATGGAAAGGGCCCTCATTTTGGGACACCGGCGCCACAACTCGTCAATTGCCCGCTGAGACACATGACTCGCATTATGGGTCACGTGAATGGCCTCCAGTTTGCGTAACGCCCTCATCGACACCAGTCCGGTGTGGCCGATGTCCGCCCGCTCCATACGAACGCACCGCAGGTTCGGTAGGTTTGTGGCGATTGTCGCGAAAAACTGGTCGCCGATCCAATACTCGTTACCCGTATTTAGCGTTAAATGTGTTGCAACGAATCGGGCCCTCATTGCGCCCCTCGTAGTCGTTGCCATCCATTTCCAGTCGTGTAATGCGTTTAAAGCATTCATTCAGCGTTTGCATGATTTGAGGGGTAATTGTATTAATACTTATGGAAAGTCTCTTAAGTTTAGGACATTTCGCCGATATTTCCCGCAATTGATCCGTTAGTATAGCTGTGGATATGTCGGTGAATACGTTGTGTTTGTAATAGAGGTGTAAATGAATTAATTCACGCATTTGTGTCAAACCAGTGGTCACTGTATTCAGTGTCTTATCATCCGATCCTCTGATGATTACTTTCAACGATTTCATACGATTCTTGAGGTTTTCCACAAATAAGCGAAACTTATCACTGTTTTTGGACATAAACTTGAGATTAATTTTCTCTAATCTTTTGAAAAACACTTGATTTTCAGGCGAGAAAAGCATCGAAAATGTCTTATTATATGAATTCAATACAACATTATATTCGCACAGATTATGGCAATAGTTTTGCACACTTTTGATGATAACCTCCTCGTGAGATGCGCTACACTTGCAGTCAATGGACAGGTATGTCAAAGTGGACCCAAACATAGCCATAAACGTGTCAAATGCCGCGTGATTTATAAACGCATCGCTGATTGTAATGGCGTTTAATTGGCGGAAATGAGTGGTAATTGTGCGGACAATGTCTGCATTCAAATCAATCCGTTTGATGCGAACGGACCTAATGTTCTTCAGCATCCGTCCAAATGGTGTCTCGTTTTGCTTATTAGGCGACAGACGGCCGAGTCTTACGCGAGCCATGGGATCAATTGTGAGATCCGTTTGTGTCTCATATATGCATCGTTGCCACTGTTTGGACACACATTCCCGTCGGAACCGGTCCTCAAATGATAGGTAACTCAATAGGACTTTATATAAATCATCGCCGAATCGGTCCAAAGAGTCTTTCGGATAGACTTTCGACTCATTTGATGCACAACTCGATGATAGTCTCCGTCTCTTCGGTGACACGTCTTCTGGGGATTCATTTGAAGACATGTTTTGACACAAAAAAGTCTTAAAAATAGTTTTGCAAACAATTAACTGAAACCCAAACTGAGATCAAAAGGTCGGAGTGTTTGCCGAAGACTTGCCACTCATTCGTGTGACTACTTCTTGAGTGCCATTCCTCTCACCACTTATGAGACAACACTTTGCTATCAATTGAAACACATTTTATGGAATTAAATAAGTGCTGAAAACTAATTGCTATTAAAAATCAATTCAAAACCAGACTTACAATGAGAGACAACGGGTGCTGTCAATGGTGTCAATACGTGTCCCCAACACTCACCGCAACTCTTATAATCACACGATTTATGTCGCATTCAAAACACTGTTCAATGAATTGAAGTGAATGCAAAATAATTGTCAAAAGAGTTACACATATAGTGAGTGATAAGTACTCAACACTTAGCCGTTCAACGAGTCTCTGGGATAGACATCGGACTCGTTTCATGTATAACTCGGTCACAGTCTTCCGAGGTATCAGTTCTTGTGATTCGCGTCAATACTGTATGTATTAATTGACACAAAACTAGACAAATGTCGGCAAAAAATAATTACACTTCAAAGCGATGTCCGATTGAACACTGAATTCAATGGTTATCTCAAACACTGAGAACATAGAGGAGAGAGAGAGAGAGAGGGAGGGAAAGAGAGAGAAGCCAATGAACGTCAAGATATTATGGCTGATGTAATAATTCATAGGTATCTGTGATGTAATCCAAACGCAATTCAGTACCTTTTAATAGCGTTCACAGTGTATTAAATAGCAGTATATGACTGTATGAAAAAGTAGTACAAATGTACCAGGCGGTATTTTCATTATTATTCCACGATGCTTACTTTTTATCGTTCAAGTCAATTCAATTATTATGAATGAACGTATTTATATTTATCAGGGTATTTTTAAATCAATTTTTAATTCATAAATTCTAATTGTAGTGAAAAGGATTGGCATTTAAACAGTTATAATAAATTAATGATTACTTTATTGTGAACTAAACTATTGATAAGATTTTGTATATTTAATGAGTGTTTTCGTGTAATACTGTATAATAATATACTTTAAATATTAAGAATATCCTGTAATACAATTGTTATGATTTATATATTTACCATGTACCATGGTAATTGTCATGTACAGTACAGTAACATTTGTAAAATAGTGTAAACACTTATACGGGTAACTAATTGCTGTCATTATTTAGAAAGTTATCATTTTTGGTGACTTTCGGAACAGATTATTGGCAGCCGTTTGTGTATAATCTCTTAATCCATGCATTTTAATGGATTGTAATTTCGGCAGTTCTGCCAATGACTGCAACACACTATCCGTTATCACCAAATGGTTAAGACTTATGAATTGAAGTCGCGGTAAATGTTTGCCAATATTTGTCACAAACTGCTGATTAGTACATAGTTTGTCATCCGATGTATACAGCGATAAATGTGTCAAACGTTTCAATCTATTCAGTGATTCACACATTAATTCAGATTCCGATCGAAACTCTCTTTGGATTTCCAAACGTTTCAAATGTTTAAAGTTTTTATTAATTGTTTGCAATAATTGTGTGAATAATTCATTTGAATCCAAATCTAAATACAATGAAAGTCTCTTCAATTGCCGACAATTAGTACCGATTTGTTTCAATTGACTCATTATTTTAGGACTTAATGGGTCATCATAACAAGTAATCTTCAAATCAATTAATGCCGGCATTTGTGGTAAACTAGTCATCAGGACTTCAATGCATTTCTCGTCATAATTCCTATGTATGGATACATCAATTGATTTCACAGTACTTTTATAAGACTTCACAAACACTGGCAAACAATTCACGTCATCCTCAGTGTAACCAAATTTGAAAGTTTGTAATCTCGGAAACAAAACCTCATTTCTATGACCACTTAATACATAAGACAAACGATGATCACTGCAAACGTAATTCATATTAATTTGCCGTAAATTCGCGCAAAACTTCATATTCTTAGCGATCAGATCCGTGGTATCGTTGCGTTCAGTGTATAGCCATTCAATGAATTTCAATTGTTTGGCAAACTTTGCGAAGAATTCACTCAATGTCTGTGCCTTTAAATCATCGCTATGTATGACATGAAACTCATTCAAATGATTGCAATATTTGTTAATTGAGTCCAACTTTGAGTTATTAAACTTGTGTGAAATGCTCGCGATTTCAATGTGTGTAACGTTTGGACACTTTTTCAACACTATTTCAAATGTTTTGTCGGATATTATCCATTGATTGAGGTTTAGTTCCGTTAGTGTCGTGTATATCAATCGCTGCCACTGTTTGGACACACATTCATATCTGAATCGATCCTCAAACGACAGGTAACTCAATAAGTGTTGACACAAATCATCACCGAATCGGTCCAAAGAGTCTTTCACGTACACTTCCTTCTCATCCATTGTATGACTACTTCTTGCTGTCATTCCTCGTCTCTTATGAAACAATACTTTGCTATCAATTGCTCCCATATTTGATAAAATAAACTAAATTATAAAAAGATAATTATAGAGAATTAACAATTACCGTAATAGTAAAACAACTATTTCACAGAGACTTACAGTGAATGCAAAACTACAGGTGCTTCAAAACCAATAGTATACTGTATCTAATATTCTACGATAAACATAAAAATTTGTTTGATATGTTTAATTGAATATATTAATGTTTATAGTATTAATTGTATTAAAAAAAATTATAAAACAATGAACTAAATGAAGAATATATTTGAATATTAAGTTAATATTATTAATAGTAATCGTATTCAAAATGAAACACTTAGACGTATACACTTAGACTATACTGTATTATGATACACGTTGACTGACATACAGAATATTTACTGAATGACTCATTATTTGAATGGCATGAGTGCACTGCAATCTATGGGTAGACTATGATATACTGTAGAATATTCTTGAATTTAACATACAATTAATGAATAATCATTTTTCCAAATTTTAAACAAGTATTTATTAAATGAAATTAATATAAAATTAGCTACAATTATATTAATTAAAAAGTATAAACGAATGTACCGTAAAAATGAATGAAAGTACCGTACGGTATGTGTAGAATATGTTTAGAAAATATAATTAAAAATCTCTTAAAATTAATTAAAATGAGATCAAAAAGTCTGATATGAATGTTGGCATCAATCAGAGGTAATCGAGTGCTAAGAAGTCATTTGAATGCATAGAGTCTTTGTCGTCGCAATTGCTTTCAGTCTTTATTTTCTTATATTTGACTTCACTTTCAATTTCAAGCAATAATTCAGTTTTCAATTCACATTTGATTTCATTCTTGAGTTTAACCGCAAATTCAGACATTATTCCACTTTTTATTTCTCTCATGATTTCGGCTTTCATTTCATTTTTAATCTCATTTACGAAGTCATTGTCGAAGACTTGACTACTTCTTGCGTCCATTTCTCTGCTCCTATTAGACACTACTTTGGGATCAATTGATGGCATTATCGTCTATACGTCAATAAAAACACATTATTATTCACTCAACATATTAACATTACACAGAATACTGTACATTCTATGCGCACTACCGGTGCTGTCAATGACTAAACCTATGTATAATCGAAAAGACAATTACCGGACTCATTGTGGGATCATTTTTCCGCTTCTTATGGTCCTCAACGATCTCTTTCATGGTGTCGAAGAACTCCTGTTGATTGTGCGGTACAAACCCCATGAATATACTGTCCAAATACATAGACATCACATTAGCACTCATACCCTACTGTCCAACAAATAGCATACCGTTTGTCGGGATTGTACAGCACTATAATCATGCGGATACTGAGTCCAGCCAATTGAATGCATCCGATCTATGGGTGCAGTGAACACACATTACATACACTGATGAGGGGACGGGCAGTGCAGAGAGTGCATACCCAGTTCGAGCTCATGATTGCTATCAGTTTGGACAGACCCGGGTGCTGGTCATCGGCAAAGTGCAGAGTTATATGGTATGCGCTGCTCTTAAGCATCGGAAACAAACTCATAATCAGTTGTTTGGGAACAAGCGAGAGAAGCAACTGTTGGGGCCATTCGTGGCCATACACTTCGGGCACACCATTCACCGCATGACACGTGATGTTGCAGTAGAGGCTATGCGTGTCACGTGGGCAGCCAGTGCTCGGTCCCGGCTGTAAGGGCGTCTCCTTGTAGTCCATGATACCGGTCCACACGTGAGCCTTTGTAGTGGGCGCTGGAGGGGTGGGGTGCGAGTGAATGGTGGCGTTCATGGGAGGGGAGGGTTGTGGGAACGGGTGCTGTAGTGGCGAAGTGCCATTACTTGCGGCCATCGCTGTCACTACGAGTGTGTCACTGATGTGGTGGCAATGGATGTGATGGTTGTGCCGATCCAGTTGTGTATGAGATAAGTGACTGAATGCTGTGTTTGCAAAGCGAGTCAAATATGTTGTTGTCTTTTGTTGCTATTGTTTATGTGTTTACTGTTTCACATGGAATGCAGTGTTAGTGTACTCTCATGGCTATACGCGGCACTCAAAAGTTAGTAAAACTTTTTATTAAAATATATTTTAACTACAAATGATAAATAATTAGTAATTCATTAAGTCTACCAATGATTAGATGAAATAATATGCACTTTGGAAACGTACCAGGGTGTATCAAACGTATACATTATTGAACTTATTTGTCATAAAAAATAATAAACATCTAGTTGATATAATTTTCTAAATAAATATTTATTACCTTTCTAAAAGTATTAGGGTACAAAATTATAATTTAATTGCCATCAAGGTACAGTACCAGTAACCATAAAATCACTGGTTAAAACGTATCATGCACAATGTTTAATTTTATTATATTAATGATAATGAGTTGTCCACAAAGTACTCGCACTGGAATTAATTTGTAAACTAGATCAAATAAAAATAATTTAAAAATATACTTTTTTCGTTTTTTAAAGGTCTTCCT